GACGCACTATTGTTTGTTTTTTTATGCGCGCATTCCTTTCATCCCATATACAAACTTGGCCACCCGTTTTGAGCTTTTCAGAGATGCCCGGTTTTTTTTTTAGGAGTTTGTTGCACGTTGCAAAGAACTTGGCGATGGTGCCCCACTCTGCTAATGCAAGCGAGCCCACAGTTTTTAGAGGCAGGAGGATATGGGAAAGTTCCAAGACTGAATGGGAGAGAAAGGTCGAGACTGGCGCGACGCATTGTTCCAGTACTGCAAGACTGGTACCGATGCGCTGCATTGACCAAATCCACCAGTAAATGAACCATACCATCTATTGTATTCTTTGCTAATCAATGCCACCATTTGATGCAAGCAGCTATCTTAAATCTTGTGGAAAATTCATGATGATCCCCGATCTTGGGAGCCAAATCGCTTACACAATTGATGGGTAGTGCCTCGATGTCCGATCATTTTGTGTCATCGTGTCGTGTCGTCAAAATACCCGTTAGTCTGAGCTAGTTTGTTGTCGAGATCCCAACTCATCCTTGCAGCCAAGCCATGTTTATTTTCAGTGTATTGCCGCTCGGGGCACTGCAATTTTGGTTACGCGGGAGGGATCGTCTGGTATTGTAAGTTATCGGAGAAAAAAGAATTAGCTATCGCAAAATAAAGAACTCGTCACGAGTGAGATTTAGAGTGCAGCTCTTTTGAAAGCGGTTAGGCTTTTGGTTTATTGTCGACAATGTTTAGGTGAACGTTAGACAAGCAAGCCCTGCGATATTTTTACCTCACGAGGATTTGGAAAGTACTCACGTTTCATCGCTTGAGGCGGACTCAGATGGCAGACTGCGATGTTTGACTTATGCTTTATTGGCGGACCATTCTTGCACTGGCCACAGTAGAGATTGGGGAACACCTGCAGCTTGACGGTCAGTTCGTCTCGCGCGACCTTTCAAAAAGCATGGACAGTACCTATCTACCACACTGTACCAGCCCAACGAAGACACCAGACTAGGACGTTTGTAACCTGGACCTGCCCTATGATGATGAATTGCAGCGCAAACTATGGCTGCACGTGCCTGGTGCCAGCGCAAGGCCCTCTCTGTCGCTTCCGTCTCACTTCATCACTCTCGTGCATCCACCTTTCTCCTCCCAATGTTCGGCAGCAAGGCAACTGTTGTGCATCAATAACATGGTAAATGTGAGTCTAAGGCATGTGGCGTGCAGGAGGTTAGTGATGGTGTCTATGTCTACAAATCTATTTAAAAAGAGACAAGACCGAAAAAGTCGGATCCTCTGGGATCCATCATCCAGCTGTAGAGTAGACTACTTTCTGGTCATCCCGATTATATACTGGAACGCCCGTAACGGAATTCTGACTCTGGAGCGATCACCCCAGGATCGAGATCGGGCCAGTTGGTTCGACAGACAAACGTTGTTCTCAGTCTTTGCCCGACGTTTGGACTCATTCCGGACCTCGCAGTCAGCATGAAACAGCGTGTGGGCTCTCTGGGCGCGGTTGCTACCATCTGGCGTACGGAACCCCCCAGCTAGAACCCGCTCCGCTCATGATGAAAACGACGCGAGATAGCAAAATACTGCCGATAAGGGTACCCTGCTTGCAAAGAGGGAGCTCTTGGCCGCGGGAGTCGGCCTGAGCAGGAGCGCCAGTGGCGGTGCTGACGTTGGCAGCGGGAGCTTGCTCGACAGCGGCAGCTTTCTTGACAGCGGCAGCGACCTGGGCAGCGACGGCGTGGTCCGCATGGGCGGGTTTCCGAGAGGCGTCGTGGTACTTACCAGTAGGCTGAACAGTAGTGGCGGGGTTCTCGGTTCCTGATTTATTGGCATGGTTGTTCGCCGCTTTCTTGGCCAGTGAGGCGGCCTTCTTTTTCTTTGCCCAGGGCTGGGCCTTGGCGACCCGATTCTTGTTTGGTTCCGTCACGGTTGGGACTTTGGGGACTTTTGGCGCCGGGGCATTGCAGCCGTGGCTTTGGTCAAAAGGTGAGAACGTAACGTCGGCGGCAGTTGCTCCAGCTTGAGGGGCGCCCTGATTGCCGAACATAAAGGACTTGGGCTGGGTTTGGATGGCACCTGAGAGAAGCTCCAAGTCGAAAACAGCCTTCACTTGGTTGAAGACACAGGTCTGGGGATAGATGGTGATCTGTTCACCGTCTATGATGGCAAAGCTGGACTTCTTCTTGCGGGATCTTCCTGCGCTGTAATCGGCCTGGCAGTGCATTACGATACTCTGGGTGTGGCCTTTCATCCAATAGAGTTTGTACTGAATTTTGACTCCTTCCACCGTGGCGTCGTTGAGGTAGCGAATGAGCTTGTTCAAGAGCACGGTTTTGGCAGCTCCAAGGGGGCTGTCTAAACAGCTCTTCAGTGTGCCTTTGCGGACGTACTCCAAAAAACGCATCGAGTCTGAAAACAAGTTGATGGTAATTTTGCTTGTCCGAATCTTCTCGGCGTCATCAGGGTTTGCTGCTTCTATGGCCTTCACGATCTCTTCTCTGCCAATCTTCGCGGCTTGAAAAAGCGCCAGGCCCTCGCCCAGGTCGATATTCAGCGTCGGCGTAATGTGGTAGCCCATTACGAACCGCTTCTCGTGGTATACGTCACCGGGAGACCACCGGTCGAACACGATGCCAATGCCACCACTGAGATTATCAGTACCAAGAGAGGCATCGGCAAAGAAAGAGAGCTCGAGGTTGCCAAATTGCGGCTTGCGCTTTTCTGCTGCTTCGGCCCTCGCAATTGCAGCGTACTTCTCCTCGATTTCCACGTGAGGAAACCCGGCCAGTTGTGCAGTTTCGTCGCTGTCTATGACGAAGATTGTAAGCAAAAGCAAAGTGGGTGACAGAGGCTGTGGCATTCCAGGTACACACCGTTCTCCTTCTGTCGCTTGGCCTCGTCTAAGGAAGCATCCTCGTCTTCGGACTTTCGCTTTTCACGCGGCTTTGCGAGCGATTCATGTGGCTGTGGGAGCGACGCTAGGTTTTTAGCCAGGCCAGCATCAGCCATCTTGGCAGGCTCCGATGGAGGAACCAGTGGTTCACCACTGCTTTGGGTTTGAGCCAGCTGCATTCGTTCCTCGGTCGCCAGTAAAGAAGACATGGCAGGTTAAATGGGCAGGAAGCAATCAGCCTGCATCAAAGACTTGAGTAATTGCAGAAGTTTCAGTAGAAAAGAAGCAATACCGCTGCGAGATCTGCGCTTTGCTGCTGGTTGAGGCTGGTGTGGGCTGCTGCGAAGAAGGCCCAGGTTGAGGCGAAGCTGGGTGGGAAAGAGAAACAAACCAAAGCTCCGCGACGCGGGGCAGTTTTAATTTTTTGAAGATCAAATTTTGTGCGACCTCAACAGGTAGCGAGCAACTGGTGAGACGGTGTTGAGAGTGGCAGTCGGATGTACAGTGCTGGGCTGGGCGGTCCAAAACCCAGGCAACGCTCACATCACAGGAGCATGGAGAGATGCTGTCCCCCGCAGCCATCTTCCACATCGCACGACTTAACAAGAGCAGTTTAGAACATATAAACGCTAGACGGCTGTGGTGTTGTATTTAAATCTACTTTCACGTTTTATTCACTCCCCAGTTCACAATGTGGATGTGACAGAAGGTCTTGATGGGCTCACTTATACAATCTCGCCATGCTTTGCGACTCTCTCTGTATAAAACCTCCCCAGATATCACGGACCATTCACCTCTACATCGTGCAGCCAATTAGAAGCGCTGGTCCTTGACCGCCCTAGCCCCGCACTGCAAGCTTGCCCCTCGAACCCGTCGAAAACTCTAACGACAAGCCGAGGATTTGCCGAGGCGCTGCCCCACACGGCTGACCTACACTAACGACCCGGAGTGACAAAAAAAGGGAGACATCAAAACCAGCCAACGACAACAAAGTCACTTTAACGAACCCCAAAATGTCTAGGAAAATTCTTCCTTACTAAAATGCCTTATAACCTTTAGATTATAAGTTCTTGGAGAATTTGGAGTTTCTTTAGTAGATTGATCAGTGCTTGAATACTACTAATCCTGACACTTTTGCGGGTACGGACACTTTTTGGTATCTTGCTTTTTCTATCACCTACCTATCTGACTACCTTAATTACAGGCGATTAGACTGCTAATGCATAAACTTCCACCATTGCATGATGCGAGGGTGCACTAGGTTTGCAGCAACTAAAAATGACTTAGATATATTTTACTTAGGACCTCACACTCATACTCTCACACCTTTGCGCTCCACCATCACAGCTTCATTCTCTAGCTAGGAGGAGACAGTCATTAACCTTATACTATGCTCTTAACAGATACAGCCCTATTCTTTCAAACAGCCAGATTAATTGGGACATGTCTCAATTAAAGCCACCAAGATCCATCCTAAAAACTAAAGATACTTGTAAAATCGATGTTATAAAACTTTTGAGAAAGCTGCGCGATAAGTTTAGGGTTGGTTTGCTAGCAGCACGGGATACGCTGTTATGTAAGATAAGGCAGGTACGCCTGATCAAGGTGGTCACAATGAAGACAACTGGGCAGGCGAGCAATGAAGATAACTGGGAAGGCGAGCAATGACTGGTATTGGCGTAAGACTTCAACCTGGCCCTCGCAACGGAAGGTGGGCGAGGGCCGCTGCTTATATACATAGTTGGTAGGATGACTGGCATGTGCTTGGGGATGTCCGATGTCCTTACAGTTATAACTTACAATCATTATCGCTCTCTAAAAGATAAAATAGCCAGTCGATATGAGAAAAACATAACATACGAACGAAGCATTATTCTAGTTATTTACTATAAGATATCCTTTGCATTTTTTGCGCGGAATAAATGCTTTAATCTCTGATGCTGCGACTGGTGGTTTTAGGCAACCGAGGCCAATGCAGGCTTAAAATGGCGGCTTTCGTTGTTGTTTCTTGGTGTGAGGTGCTATACTTACTAAGATAATACAGCGGTGCACCCGCATTATATAAGTCAGCCCAGGGAATAAGAGAGCACAACGCAAAAAGAAAAATGGCTGTGTGGTATAGTGGTCGTACAGGCTCTCTGTAAGTGCATGCGGTTTTTAAAAGTTACCGAAAGGTGGCGCCCCTAGTATGAGCGGTTCTGGCCCCGGTTCGATTCCGGGCTTAGTTGTTTTTCTAAAGATTTGAGCGTCGTTTTTTTTTTTTTTTGCCTACTTAGCCGATGTAAGGGTTTACTGGTGAATGAAATATTTATGGGTAGGATAGTTGGAAATGTAATGGTTTTTGGTGGTATAGTTATAGAACAGTAACACTGACTAGATTAATTAAGCCCGTCGTGTGTTGCCTATAATCTCACCTTATCGCATAGGTACCTATTTAGAAGAACACACCTAAAGGTTGCCAGCTGAATGCAAGTTGTGTAAGACCAACCCATTCGGGTGTAAATGCCCCAAACCCCGAAATAACCTTCTAGCTCTCAAAAGGTCGAGGCCAGACCTGATCGACATGTCACGCAAGTCACCCACCCACCAACTGCTTGCCGTGCGCCAAAAAGGCCGGCAGTGTGGGCTTGCATGCTTACTTATCACGCGTCTGACCAATAGATAACAACTGTGTAATCACCAAACACGCCTCAGAGATTTAAACATGCAGTAGGTAGCCGAGCAAGTACGTGTGCAATGGCACAGCAGGAACAAAAGTAATAGCAGCTGTTGTTACCTATGATCTGGAACTAGAGCCGGGGTCTTGTTTACGAGGGTGGTGCGACTTCCATAATGCACACTTTACTCTTGACTTAGAAAATCTTATCCGGCTTAGTGAAGCACATCAAAAGGACACAGAGTGAGAGATATCAGGTAAGTACGAAGTAAGCTCGGGAGGACGCGCCCCTAGCGCCGTGGGTTTTGCTCACCCCGCCGATGGTTAGGTACTTGTCCAGAATAGTCCAGCGGTTAGTGCGGTGTAGCACGTCGGGTACCAATCAAGCCATCCTTATTCATTGCTGCGTAAGGCGGACAGGGAAACTGTGCTGTGCAGACATGGTATAGACATCTGATGGTCCACGCATTTAGATGAGGGAAAAGAAGGAACGTGGTGGTACTGAAAGTGGCTTCTGGGATGAGGGGTGAGTCGATGAGCGGGCTGGCGGGCTGGCGTTACGGGCTGGCGGGCTGGCGTTACGGGCTGGCGCCGGACCCCCTGGCGGTACAGTACAGTACAGGAGCGTGCAATGGCGCATGGCGTCAGGCATTGCAGACCAGTCAAGTGGCCGGATCTGGCCATGTGAGAATGCTTGGCTGGTGCGTGCCTTTCGACCGCTTGTTGATCCTCCATGATGTGCACCTTGGCGGCGGTGGGTGCATGTTCCTCGACATTGGTCTGCAGCAGCCTGCATCCCGAAACTGCGTCGAATAGGCCCTGTCATCGGGGAAATGCGGCCAAATTCGCCCGGCTTAACTGCGGCGGGCCGAGGAGGGGGAGGAAGCGAGGGAAGATGGAGGTGGATGGAGAATTGTGGAAGCGACAAGATGAAAAGGGCGCTGCTGCGATGCGATGCAAGGTGTAACAACAACTGGGAAAATGGCTCAAGCAGGTGGGATAGGGGTCGGCGCTTCTCGCGATCGCATCGCGGCTTTCTCCTTGCCCTCTGACCGGGTTGAGCCTCCTCGTTATTCAGCCTGATGTGGCCGTGGTTTTCGTCAGGCCGTGTCGCATCTTGTTGCGTCGCATCGTGCGGGCTGGCCAGCTACGTGAGCCCGGTAGTTCTCTCGGTCGACCTGTTCTCGTCAGACGGCGCCATGGACGACGGGCCCACGACGCGCGAGGTTGCTCTGCTCTAGGTTGCTCTGGAATACCAAGGCGTCAAAAATGACCCCGCTCGGCCAGTGGGACAGTTGACGAGGGACTGGTCAGTGGTGGCTGTGGCCCGTCATCCCGCGCCTGGGGCTGCGTCCATGAAGACAGACAGCTGGAGTAGAGCCAGTGATTCACAGGGATCGACGCAGGCTATCGTCGAGCTTATCTGGGGCTCACTCTTGGCGACTGTCGCTATTTTGTCGACGTATTTAAGCGACATTCCCATATGGTACTGCGTGGCAGGAAAGGCGTTGAAACAAAGACAGACAGCAGAGACACGTACAGTACAGTACGATCATCGACATTCGAGCTGTTTTCGGCGGCGCCTCTTGACCTACCTCTTGACCAAGCCAACCCCGCCCGCCTCGCGCGCAGCTAAAGCCACTCGTGCCGCGTTGCCTAGTCTACTCCCTCCTATCCTACGGGAAGCTTATACAGTACCTAGCTTTCCTCGGCTCGTCTCGTCGCGCAGGTGTAAAAGAAGGTTGACCGCACCTGCCAGGAGACCCGTCCCTCTTCCACGCTTCCTCCTGCTTCTTTTGCAACCGCATCCCCTGCTTCGTCCAGCGCGCATTGGCAATTCCCCACCGAGGGCGGATTGCTCGATAGTATCATCTGAAAGGCCATCAAACAGGATCCCGACTGTTCCTGCCTCCTGGTCGCAATTAAGCTCAGATTGCCGTTAGCGCCTCTGGAATTGGCTCGTTTGGGAGGACAAGGTCTGGGGTTGCCGGCCCATTACGTCAGGTCATCATTCAGGTGCGTTGTTGCCTTCACATGGCCCATGCTTTTCCCATTGCACGTTTCCGAGGCTGTCGTTCTGAGTGTTGTGTCTGTCAATTGGGCTGAGAATGGGCGGGATGGGATGTGGATGTGCTTGTTATGGGCATAATTTATGACCGATTCGGGAGAAATCGTGTCTGCCACTGTCTCCCAACCTTTGTTGCGGCTCGCGACGTAGGTGGCCTGTGGTCATCATCATCATCATTGCCAGGTTTTGGCCGCTGCCGACTTTGACCCCGCCAGATCTGGGCGCTTTTCCCCAAATGCTCCCCATCCATGGAGAATGCGCTGCACCAATCACGGACCAAGGTCGCGAAGAGCCGGGGGCCGATTGCGTCTGGGCCTGTCCTTGGCTGTCGCCTGGAGCACCCGAATGAAGCACCGATCACGGGGAATAGCGGTGCCAACAGGGAAGGAGGGGTTGTTTGGCGAGACCCCAAGCACCAACAGACGGCCGCGGCGGTTTTGGCGGGCGCATTCTCTCCTGGCGTCGCAATACTCGACGGTTCCCATGTTGGTGTTGGCAAAAGGCGTCGCAGTCAAGGCAGGCCCAGACAAAGACTGCATTGAAATGAATGCGATACTGGGAAATCTCGCAAGTGCAGGGGAGGGAGGGGACAAGGCAAGAGCGCCCTGGAGGTGCCCATCAATTTTTGACAAAGATTGCGCCCCACCTTCTCCTAGCTTCGCAAAGCTACACTACCGCCCGATTACCAGGGCCTGGACCTTCCGTCCTTGCTGGCTGCTCCTTCCCCTGGCCGCTGCCCCGTTAGGCCCCTCAGTTATCTCATCATAGCTCCATGCGCCCACCCGCCCGCCTCTTGCCTGCTACCTTTCCCTCGCTGCTCACCGACTTCCTCCCCTCACCGGTTCTTGATTGTTGGCATTCGCTCCTCTGCTCGCCCTTCTTGTCTGTCTTGGACTGTCTTTTGACTCTTTCTTCATTGTTTTCCCTGCACATCATTCCATAGACAGACCATCTTCCACTTAGCGGGGCTTCTTGTTAATCTCACCGACCATGGAGCAGAAACCGGACGCGCAACAGAGCGCTCCCCACACAGACGAGAACACGACCGCCCCCCTGGTCCCCAGCCAGTCGAACGCAGCCACTCGTCGACGAACGCGTTACCGCCGCACGTCATTGCGTCTATGAATGCTGTGCCTGTCACGCCGGGCATCGGATTACAGACGTACAACTCTGGGGAAGACGACACGCTAGACGGGCTGAAGGGCTCGATAAGTCCCGGCTACTTCACCAAGAAGGACGTCGACCACGCCATTGCTGCCTCGCCGGCACCCACTGGCCCAAAATCACAAGATCAGAGTTTCGAGGGTCAGGTCGAGGCCGGGGCAGACGCTGGCAAAGATTTCCTGAAACGCCTGAGCCGCGTAGCAATGGGCAGCCGCAGAGACTCGCTCTCCGAAATTCGGGCGACAAACCCCAATTTGTCGCTCAGCGGAAATATCATATCGGCCACATTCACCATCCCACACACGCTCAAGTACCGAAAAGGATCAGACTGGGTAAGTCCCTCCTATCTTTTCGCCTATACCTTCTTTTTCCCCTTTTATTTTTTATTTTTTGGGCGCACTTGACGCTGCTGGCGGTCTGGAACGCGGTCGCGGCAGCTGTCGTTTGCCAATTAACCCTTCTTGGATGGTGGGGGCTGATGTCATGATGCATGCAGGAATTGAAACCCCGCCGCGGCCAGTCCGCCCTGTTCGACTCCTTTTCGTACCTGTCCTCGGATGAGGCCCCGTGGAATCACACCGTCGTCGCGTGGACTGGCGAGATAGAAACACCCACCGATTCTCCCTCACCACCCGGCACACCTCCTTCGACCACGGTCCACCTCGGCTCCCTCAATGTTCTGTCGGCGCCAGTGCCGATTCATGGCGAAAAGGCCCCGCCAACACCGCCCCTTGTCGATGGGCTATGGATTGCCCACGAGGACATGCACCGCCTCGAACAACAATTGTCCCACGACAAGAAAATTAAGACAGTCCCGGTCTGGCTTGCAGACGAACCCGAAGGCCACCAGGATGGAATCAGGTTGAAGGATCAAGGGCGGTGGAGGCGCTATGCTGAGCACGACCTCTACACATTGTTGCACTACAAGCAACACGAGCCGACAGATGGCCGCGCCGAGAGAGTACAATGGGCCGACTACTACCGCATGAATCAAAAGTTCGCCAACAGGATCCTCGAGATCTACAAGCCTGGCGACATTGTCATCGTGCACGACTACAACTTGATGCTGCTCCCTAGCATGTTGAGGCAACGAGCCCCCCACATGTACATCTCTTTCTACCTCCACTCGCCATTCCCCAGCAGTGAGTTTATGAGATGCCTGCCTCGGAGAAAGGAGATCCTTGAGGGCGTCTTGGGCTCCAACTTGGTGGGCTTCCAGAGCTACAGCTTTTCTCGCCATTTTGCGAGCTGCTGCACGCGAATCCTTGGGTTCCCATCTGACACGACGGGAGTTGATGCATACGGTTCGCGCGTCGAGGTTGGAGTGTTCCCGATTGGCA